TACATAGTAAGAGTAGATCTTGGTAGTTTCACTTTAACATATGGATAAGTGGATGTTTGTTGGATGGTGATATATCATTATTACTGTGTTCTAACTATGTGGTCAAAAAATTGTTAAATCCATTATTTTAAAATTGTCTTTCACTCAGCAAGGCCCAGTCATGTTGTCAGATCTGGCAAAAAAAAAAAAAATCACATGTGAAATAAATATATTAAAATAAATAAAGCTCTAAAAAGTACCCATTTCAGGCTAGTTTTTAACCTAGTCCTTATCTGAGCCTTCTGGTTTGATTTCTGTTTGGTTGATTAAATTTTTCAAAAGAATAGATTTAGCATAAAATGAGCATATCTTGACTTAATGTAACTATGTTTCCCCAACTTCAATCTTTCATAAACCTTCCGCATGATTTTTGCCAAATCTATAAACCACTTGTGTTTTTATTTATTTTGTATTTTCCTTAAGTCAACTCAAATTTTAAATCTATATTTAATATCCATGAAACTGTTAATTTGTATATGGACTAGTTATCTTCTTCTAGTATGCAATACAATAAATAGAACTGTTAAAATGTAAAAACATTCATTCATGTGCCATCCAAAATAATGTCACCTATTTCAGTGGCCCACATATGCCATGGTTTGGGGAATACAGATATTCAGAACATTCTTTTATGCTTTTTCCTTTCTCTCAGGTTCTTTTGCTATAACAAAGGTTCATATGCATGAGAAAAGAAACAAGAGCTATTAGGTATTAAGAAGAGAAGTGCTTTTGGTTTTAAAGAACTCATTTCACCCTCCCTCCCCCAGACGTGTTTTCAGAGGGTACCAGCTTTTCTAAATTCACATGCAGCTCATCCAAGGTTGACTATGCCTTGACCCAGATAGTTTTGTCCATCTGTTAGTAAACATCATCCAAGGGAATTATGGAGGAGGAATATTTGAAGACAAAGAAACACTCTGTGTGCTACAGCACAGAATGAACTTAGTGACTGAGAGCAGCACTCATGGGGCTCCATGAGACAAGATTGGCCATGACCCAGCCTTCTAGGGTCTCTCAGAGACTCACTAAGATGTGCACAGAAACAAAGCTGAAAGGACTCTAGAGAAATAGCTCATCCTCTTCCTAACCACTGGGGTGACTGAGTCTCAGAGGGGCAAAATGGCATGTTAAGAATCATACTGTTAGTTGGCGACGAAGTCTGGGGTCTGGCCTACCTATCCACACCTCCCCTTCATTTATCTTCCTGTCTCAGAAGGCTGGTAGGGAAAGTTTCATGCTGGGAGTCAGAGGACCCTGGCTTTAGAAAGGGCTTCTTTCCAAAGAAAGAGGAACGGGCCCCAAACAGCCACTTAGCCAAGATCTGAGATCACTGGTGTGGTACCCTAAGAATGACAGAAATGTGTTAAATTACCCTGGACAATACCACTCATGACCTGAAGCCCCCTTTACCACTTAGAAGACCCTCTGGCTATGGCATGAGTACCAAGTGTTGACGACCTGATCCTCAAATCCCTGGTGCCTTCTAGCCCTGTCAGAAGACTTCTGCTCTTGAAACCAAATTCAGAATCATACCCAGGGACTAGTAGTCTTTTATATCTGTAATGAGTAACCTTGAAATGTCCCCATGATTTCATAACCAGGGGACCCCAGGCTAAATGCCAAGTCAAAATTCTGAAGCTCTGAGTGTTGACCTGAATTTTTTCCTGAGTTTAGGCTGAAAAGTTCTAACAACTCATCACAAATCCTACATCTCTGTTGCCTTAAATGTGATTTGCAAATGTCAAAACTACCAACCAACAATTCAGAAACCATTTCCTGAGTATTTTTATGCTCCAGCAGGCTTTAGGACACAAAGATGAGTCCGGAAGGGAATCTCTGCTTTGGAGGAAATCCCGGACTGGAGGAAGCACCCTGTGATAACTCAAGGATCACCTCTTTCAGGAAAGCTTCCCAGACTTCCCGAGGAGAATTAGTAGAGTCTTCCCCTGGTTCTCATAGTACCTCGTAGAGCCCCTGCCTCTCTTGACATTGGTTTTGTGGTTTGTTTTGAGGTCTGTTGCACCTCTAGATAGTGAGTTCTTAGAGGGCAGGAGCTTTAATCAACAACATGTTCCCAGAGCATGGTGTGAAGTAGGCGACCCTTCACAATCCTTCTATGGGGGAGGTATGGACAGAATCCTAGGGAAGCACACAGTAGGGAAAAATGCCATGCCATACAAACCAGGCAGCTTGAGGGTCTCGGATGGCCTTACAGAGGCAGAGGCATTTAAACTGGGGCTTAAAGGACAAGTAGAGGCTCCTGGGAGCTGCTCTGGCGTGGCCCACATAAGTGGCCGTCATACCTGCATTTGTCTAGGCCCCTTTCCCACACCTTTCACCTTTTCCTGAAAGAGACACCTTTTCAGTGAGTCTGGCCATTTCACTTAGACAAGCACAGGTCTGTTTTCTTCAGGGTCAGTCGTTAGCTAGTTAGTTTTTGGTGATTGTTAGTATAAAAAATGCATAGAAATGGCAGCTAAATGGTTTCTTGTCCAAACCACTTGTGAGCAAGCTTCATAGGAGTCTTAGGCAAGAGAGTCACAGGGATCCCTGATCACAGGGAGACTGTGCCCAAAACATCTTTAGGAAAGAGGGGCATACCTCTGAATGAGGTCTTGTAGTTCCTGCAAGGACAGTGTTGCAACCTGTCCCCAAATCCCTCTTACTTTTCCTTAGCACTTACTCTCTAACAAGTGATATAATTTATTTGTTAATTAAATTAATTATCGGTTCCTCCTTGCTGAACTGTAAGCTCCATGAAAGCAGGGATTCTTTATCTGATTTGTCATTGATATATCCCAAGTACCTGGAACAGTGTCTGGCACTTATCAGCAGTCCAGTGAATGGATACGTACATTGAATGAATGAACAAATGAATGTTTTACATCTGCCCCAGGTCTGAGCCCAGGTGAAGGGAACGGCAGTCGTCCTAAGAGGAAGAGTACTCAGGGTTGGAGGGTCATGGTTATTTCAACCAGAGAGCCATCTTCTGTGTTGCAGATTGCTTTCTTTCACATGGCACCTGAAAAGTGCTCTTGCCATTTAAGTGGCTGTTGTGCACATGTATTCTTCCTCCAAGAAGGCATCTATGACGTAGTCCCTTAAGAGCACTGTATCAGGAGACCTGAGCTCAAATCTTTACATTTCTAGCTATGTCATTTAGGGTCACTCCTTAGCCCTGCGCGAGTCTCAGTTTCCTCACTGCTCACACTGAGTTCTGCGCCTCCTGACACCCATAGGCCCCCCGGTGGGCAGCACCAAGCCTGTGGAGACCCTCTAACTGGCCAGCCGTGTGGGTGGGTTCCTTGAGCCTGTTTCCAAGCCAGCCTCTGGCTCTCCCCAGGAAAAGATCCAGCAACGCCCCATGAGTTTTGTTAGGGAGGATTGTGCAGCACCCTCCCCTCCAAACCTAAATCCCCAGTAAGTCAGGAAGATGTATGTGTTGTAAAACATTGGGAGGTCTGCTTTGGATCACCCTGGAGCTGTGGCTTCCCGGAGCAGCTGAGAGTGAAGGGAAGCAGTGCCTCTGCCCGCAGCTCTCCCGGTGCTCGCGCCCCACACAGGGGCTGCCTTCACTCGGCCTCCGCGGCCGTTGACTTTTAAATCGTAAAAAGCCGCTCTATATACAGTTTACTCTGTTGCTAGAAGGCAGCGGAACATAGGTATTAAGAAAAACAGAGAGGAGAGAGAGCAGAAGAAGCGGCCGTTAATCCCGCCAAGCTTCTGGGCACCGGAGTAGTGGTGGATGACAAAAGTTAATTAGAAACATGAGCAGTTTAACCGAAAACACTTGTGACAATTGGAAGGGCAGCCTCTCCGGTCGTGGAATTTTTTCTGGGGAATCACTGCAGGAGAAAGTGGCTGCTGCTAGGTAAGTCACTGTGACTGCAGGCGCAGGGTGCTCTTTGGGGGCTGAAGGGGCGCATCCTGTCTGCTGAGCACAGGGGGTGTGGGGTGTGGGTGGGCGCGGGGCTCAGCTGAGACGCGCCTTCCTGCCACCTTCCCTAACGGCCGCCTTCCGTGGGAGACGGGGCCACATCATTCCGGGTGCTGCCCGAAGCAGACAGGAGCCGCAGTCCCCACTCCTGTGGCACGGGCCGCCTTAGCGGCCAGCAGAGCTCTCAGTGTGGAGCTTGCTCTTCTGAGAATAATTCTGGCTCTAGTTTAAAAATATTTTGAGGCTTTCCTGAGAAAAGAGTCTGGCCGGGGAAACACTTGCAGAGCGCCAAGGGGAAGCCTTGACTTTCAGATAACCTGTGTGTTTTCTTGACTACAGTGGAGCCATGTGCGGAGATTATACTCTTAAGCAAAAAAAGGTTTCTTTTTGAAAAAGTCCAACCCGAATCACGTTTGTCACTCTTTGAAAGTGCCAACATAGGAAAAGCTTAGGTGCTTTGATAGATAGGATTTAACAACTTCTGCGGGTAATTATTCTTCTGTAAAGATTCTACTTGATTTTTCCTCCTTTTCTAGGTTTTTTTTTTTTTTTTTTGGTCCATTTCATTTTAATGCCTGTGTTACATTGTTTCCCTAAAGTTGGATAATTCTTGATTATTTTACTTAACTGGGAAACAGGCTGTGGGATGAATAATTCAAAATGGTAGGTATTTCCTATTATTTTCTCCACGCACCGTATGGGAGGTACAGGTTTTCGTTTGTTTTTTTCATAGATTTATGTTCTTAGTTATGCTTTGTGTGTGTTACTGTGAAGATCAACACTCATTGGTGCAGCACACACCACCAAAGTGTGACCAGGGTGCAGGTGGGCGGTATGAACCGTGCATGGAGGAGGTTGAGACGGGATTTAACATTTAACCACAGTTCATCCACAAAGCGGGTAGTGGGGCTCTAGGGTGTTTGGGTTGGGGCAACGGGCTCTATGGCCACAGCCAACCTTGCCTTGGCTGCAGGGCAGGTCAGCAGATGTGATCCAGGTCTCCTCCTCCTCTCTGTCTCTGCAGAGTCATTGGCGAGCTCAGCCTCCTCCCACCCCGGAATGAGCGAAAATGCACCTGCTTCCTTGGAGAGCGGCAGCAGCCCCACCCCCGCTAACTGCAGCACGTCCTCGGCCATCCCCCAGCCCGGCTCGGCCTCCAAGCCCTGGCGCAGCAAGTCCCTCAGCGTGAAGCACAGTGCCACGGCGTCCATGCTCTCGGTCAAGCCGCCCGGGACCGAGGCCCCCAGGCTCACGCCCGAAGCCATGAAGCCAGCCCCCAACAATCAGAAGTCCATGCTGGAAAAACTAAAACTTTTCAACAGTAAAGGGGGCTCCAAGGCGGGCGAGGGCCCGGGGTCCCGGGACACGAGCTGCGAGCGGCTGGAGATCCTGCCCAGCTTCGAGGAGAGCGAGGAGCTGGAGGCCGCCAGCCGCGCGCTCTCCACGCCGGGCCCCGCTTCCAGTAGCCCCAAGATCGCACTCAAGGGCATCGCCCAGAGGACCTTTAGCCGGGCGCTGACCAACAAGAAGAGTTCTCCGAAAGGCAACGAGAAGGAGAAGGAGAAACAACAGCGGGAGAAGGAGAAGGAGAAAAGCAAGGACCTCACCAAGAGAGCGTCGGTGACAGAGAGACCCGACCTCAAGGAGGAGCCAAAAGAAGACCCCAGCGGGGCCGCCGTGACCGAGATGCCAAAAAAGTCCTCCAAGATCGCCAGCTTCATCCCCAAAGGCGGGAAGCTCAACAGTGCCAAGAAGGAGGCCACGGCCCCCTGCCACAGTGGGATACCAAAACCGGGGATGAAGAGCGCGCCCGGGAAAGCCCCAAGTGCCCCAGCACCTTCCAAGGATGGGGAGCGGAGCCGGAGCGGGAAGCCGAGCTCGGGGCTCCCCCAGCAGAAGCCCCAGCTGGACGGCAGACACTCCAGCTCCTCCTCCAGCCTGGCATCCTCGGAAGGAAAAGGCCCAGGAGGGACCACCCTGAACCACAGCATCAGCAGCCAGACCGTCAGCGGGTCCGTGGGGACCACCCAGACCACAGGAAGCAACACCGTCAGTGTTCAGCTACCTCAGCCCCAGCAGCAATACAACCATCCCAACACTGCCACGGTCGCACCTTTCCTGTACAGGTAGGAGCAGCCCCCATCCCCTGCTTCCCGGGTCACTGGGCATAAGAACCTCTCCGGCACATTCTGGGGCTGGGAGGGTTGGATGTGACTGCCCTCCAGGAACATGTAAGCAAACAGCTAAGGCACCACGTGGTACGCTCCAAGTAGAGGCACGCACAGCCTGTTGGGGGGAGCGGCTAACACCACGTGGGCTGGGGGAGGGGCGCAGAAGGCTAACGAGGGGAGGTAAAGTGGGAGCTGCCCCCAGGATGAGCAGGAGCTCCGCAGGCACGTGGGACCCAGGCCTCTCATAGCCGTAGCTGCTCGAGCAGAAGTGCAAAGGCCAGCACGTGCAGGGCGGGTGGCTTGGCGTCACCAGCAGGCCCCAGCAGCAGCCCTAGCACATCCTCAGCATACTTAAAAAAAAAAAAAAATACCCAAAATCACCTTGCTGAATGACTGAGACTTCTCCTTCTAGCAGTGAGTGCCTGGAACATCCAGACCACCATCGTCCCTGCTGCGTGCTGGGGCTTTTGGAGGGGAGAGAAAGGTAATGGTAAGGGAGGGGCTGGTTCTAGAAGAACGAGAGACCCCACGTTGTATCGAGGAGATAAGGCTGAGGTATTTGTGTGTGATTGTATCCTTCTGTCCTGTGTCTGTCCCCTGAGCCCACTGCGTTGTTGATGGCATGGCCATGGGACTGTGGGAGACCGGAGCCAGCTGCTGCTTGCTCCACGGGTTCTGGCTGATGGCATTGTCTACTTGCTCATGTTGGCTCCAGGTGCTGCGTGATGCACGTGGATGTGTCCACTGAGGCAGGTGGAAGGTACTGAACACAGCTCTTGAGGGCGGAGCTCTTGCTCACAGTGCTCCGCGGCGTCCCGTGCTGGAGGCATGCAGTGCGCTGGCCCCGCTGCACAGGTGAATGCCGATTAGCACCTGGGCACAGCAAAAGGGACTAATGATTGAGTGTCTTATTCTAGACACTGATTTTATTATCTCGCACCTCCCAATGCATACACAGACACGGCTGCACACTCAGCACACCCATGGGCGTAAAAACACATCAACAGTACCTGTAAGTATGACCACAAGTATGCATTCGTATATAAAACGCAAATGCAGGTGTGCAGACACATACTTGCACACCTGCTTAGGCACATAGACTCACGCCATGGTTTTAGCTTGCTGTGTTTGTAAGGCTCCCCAGAGAATTAGACAGTTGCTCTCTGCCGCCTGAGTTGTATTCTGGTGGGGTCTGTTACACTTCCTGCCAATAGCTGGTGGAGAGACTGGCTTGCGTGATTTCAGAGTAAACCCAGCCAGCATCCGGCCAGTGAGGCAGTGTCAGGCTTTGCCTAGTCCTTCCTTCCTTGTCTCCCACTCTCCTTCCCCTTCAGTGAGGGTCACACTGATCTTTTTAATTGGGAGACAGTCTGGTTTTATTGAATCAAGTCATCAGCAGCTAACTGCCCTAGGGAGAGCGCCAAGGCTCAGATGATGACTCAGCTCGTCTGCGTGCACGGATTTTGATACAGTTGTCCTCTTGAAGCATTGAGGCAACTGAATAGCTCCCGGTGACATTTTTATAATCCCGATAGCATTAATAGTCTTGAAGTAATACACATTCAAGCTGCTCTTCACAGATTGTTGATTTGCATTTTCAAAATTAAAATATACGACAGTCTTTGATCACCATCAATCCCACTCCTTCCTTTTTTTTTTTTTTTTTGCTGTAGTTATTTGAAAGATTGTAAAAAATTTAACCTCCCTTTTAAAATAAACTTTCAAGCTTCAGTATGAGAAGAAAAACTCTTAATGATGAAGAGCAAATGTCCGGCAGGGAGGAGGAAGAGAGAAACCTCTAGGATGTGTATCTGCCCAGCCCCACTTTGCTGTTAATGCTCACTCTGGGTAACGTCCTCTCGCCCCTCTGAGGTGCCTTCCTCTTTAGGGAAGCCTGAGAGGCTGGAAAGAAGAGCACTGGGATAGGAGTCAGGACACCTGGGCCCTGACCTTTATCAGTTCACGAGGCCCTCTGTGGTCCTGGGCACCAGCTGCGAGAACAGCTATTGAGTGTGCACCAAGTGTATGCAGACTCTGCTGAGGGCTCTTCGGGTCTTAGCTCGTTCAGTTCTTCCCACAACTCCCTGAGCTAGCCGCTTTTTAAACCCCCATTCTACAGATGAGCAGACTGGAGCTTAGAATAATTAAATAACTCACTCCAAGTCACAGAGCTCCTAACTAGAAGAGCTCGTGGTATTTAACCACTTCGGCACGGCGCTCACCGGAAACCTTGCCCACAGCCGGCACTCACAGTCCGCACGATAGTTTGCGCTGTGCATTGACGACGAATCCGTTTTGCTCTTGTGTGATGAGGAAAGCTTGAAAGCACTGAAAGCTTGTTTTACTTTACAGGCAGCTTTACTTGTAATGTAAATCAGAATAGTTCAGAATAGGTAACATATACATATATGTTTTTATTACGTTATTTTTAAATGTTCACAATTTTCGTAGTAACCTATTAGCTGAACATACACACTGCAACTGCAGAGATAAAAGCTGTACAAGTAAAAGCTTTTGGCTGTCAACTAAAGTCAACGCTCGGCTGTGCGCCTTCATATCACGGCTGTCGGCTACAATCCACGCTCGGCTGTGCCCATTTATCTGTGGCTATCGACTATGGTTAACACTGGTACCGAAGTGGTTAAAGCCAAGTGTGTGTATGTGTGTGTGTGTAAGTAGTGGGACCAGGTGCTTCTCCACTGTACTGTCCTGTTGCTCTGAATCACCTCACCTCTCTGAGCTTTGTTTGTAAAATGAAGAGATTGAATGAACTAGATTAGAGGACTTTAAAACATGACTGACACTCCCTCCCTGCTCTCAAATTCTCTCTCCCAAGTTTAGGGCTCACTGTGTCTAACTTACAGTGCTTTCCCAAGGACCTCTCCATGTTAAAGATGTTACCGAGGGGTAAAGATAAGATAGATTTGTTTAAAACTCACGCAGAATAATTTTTATTTATCAATTCACAAGTAACAACAGATGCCTCTATTACTGTATAGTTTACTAAGTGTTTTTGTGTCATGTCACATTTGATTTGTGTAGCACCAGAGGAGATTGCTATTGTTATCCCCATTGTACAGGCGAGGATGCTGAGATTCAAAGAGGTGAAGTGACTTAATTCAAATCTGCGTGGCTGCCAAGTTACGGATCTTCCACCTGGAGCCAGCTAAATGTCCAGACTGCCGAGTCTAGTGTTCCGTCCAGTACCCAGCTTCTTTGGAAACTTAAAAATTTCTCATTTATCTAATCAACATACACTGTTCTTGAGTTGCTTGCTCAGCATATGAACTTGAACTAACCTTTGCCTTCAGAGAGCTCTTGGTCTAGTTGAGGAGAGATTTGTTAATTAGATCCCATTGTAGTAGGCCACAGAAGAATAAGGAGAGTGCGGAAGAGACACCTGAGAGGTGGCGTGATGAGCTGGCAACTAGTCAGGGGAGGCTTCTAGGCCACGATGACGGGAGCTGCATCTTGGAGGCAGTTTAGGAGGAAATGAATCAGAAGGGCCTGCAGGCAGAGGTCACAGTAACTACAAAGACAGCACTGCTAAGGGCATGGTATGATTGGGAATGGAGAAAAGCCACATATGTGTGAGGCATGAGGTAGAGCTGTGTATGAAGGGTGAGCATGGCAGGAGATGGGCTGGCAGTAAAGGAGGGAAGGATCCATGATGTGGGGTATCATCTACCCCATTAAGTTAAATCTTCTTTCTGTGGGTGATAGAAACCATTGGAGAGAATGATGTTATCACATCAGTAGGTCAGAGGTCAGTGGAGGATCTTGTAGGGATTACACCAGACCTAGGAAAAGTCTGGAATGGAGGTCATGGATTCAGATGCCTAATTGGCCCAAAAAGGTAATATAAACGGGCGGCTCAGGGTGAGTGGGTCTGCGGCAGAGGGCGCTGTACGCCTCTTTAGAGGGTGCAGTCACCAGTTGGCACCAGAGGTGGTGCTCTGCTGGACCATGCGCTGAGTCTTTGCAGACTGCTTTGTTTGAACTGGGAGAAGGCAGAAATCCAGGTATTGCTTGTGAAATCTCTCAATTTTTTAATGTTGGCCTAATTATAAAACTTTAAAATATCATGCAGACCAATAGAATTAAATCGGGCTGGTTCCCACACCTGGTTGCCTTTTGCAGCCTCCAGGCTAGATGCAGGGTACCTGTTTCAAAGTGCTTACAGGGCCTAGGCAGAGAAGATGAGTGCTTGGACACTGGCCTGGGTGAAGAGGAGCCCTGGGATAGTGAAAATCCCTTAAAAATAGAGATCACAGGATTGAGAAGTGACAGCCTCAAAGGAGGGCAAAGAAGGGAAGGATAGGAGGATGACTTGATGCTTATTAGTATATCCCACATGGTCTGTGCAAATCCTTGGCCAACACTTTCTTCATAGGTAGCGAAATCTGGTTGTATTAGCTCAGGATGCTAATGAGTTAATAATGTTACACTCAGGGTTATGCATCTGAGTGTAATTATACATTTGCATGCCACGCATGAATGAACAGAGGTAGTTGTGGCAAGAAAACATTGCATTAAGCCATTGCTTCAATTTGCTTGACAAATAAGGGCATGGAGAAGGTTTGGGGAAGTACAGATTTCAGTCAAGTGTTGAAATAATGATCAATGAGACCTTTCATGTCAGAAGATCTGAGCTCTGAATCAGAAACCTGGAGGGCAAACACACCTGCTTGGCACCCACTCCCGGCTGGTTTTACGGTCACCTTTTCAGAGAGAGGCTTCTGGGATGGGGGTGCTGTCAATGGAGTCATCGTTATGCTTGACTTGCTGGCATTACTGGTTACTTAGAAGTTGCTTTTTGGCATAGGTTAAATTATCCAAACCACCCAGTACCCTCTAGCATGTGTCTGTAGCCAGACCTGGCTCCCTGAGGGGGATTCAGAGATGCATTCCTCAGTGAGGGATGGCAGACCCTCCATTTGGGCAATGAATATTTCATCTTTTGCAGTTCAGTGGTGTTCTCTGTTCTTAGGACGTTGCTCCACACGTGGCTAATGAATTATTTAGCGTCAGTCTGCCGGTCTGCTCTGTTCTAAAGCTTCTTGCTGGAGGAGGTGATGGTGAGGGCCATGGTCAAACCACAGCGGTCCAGATGTGGTGGTTGCCTGTAGTGACAAGTGTGTCTGCTTTCGTTTGTGCATGAAGGTCCCAGACGGACACGGAAGGGAACGTTACTGCCGAGTCCAGCTCAGCGGGTGTGAGCATGGAGCCCAGCCACTACACCAAGAGTGGACAGCCTGCTCTGGAGGAACTCACAGGTGAGTACGGAGCCCCAGAATTGCTGTGTCTGTTGGTGATGTGGCCTCCCACACAGCCACCTGCTGAAAACATCATGGCCCCAGCTGGATTTGAAGTTGCTTTACAGCTGCATCGACTGATAAACTAAAAACTTATTTTCTTTCTTCCCTTAGTATTTTCCTTCTTTTTTTTCTTCCCTTCTCTCTCTCTCTTACAATCTCTTCCCTCCTCTTCTGAATTATAAATAAGTCTCTTACCTGCTGGTAAATCCTATTTTTAAGATTTATTTGATTTTATTCATTTAGGGCCTCTGGACTACTTTGATACTTAACTTGGAATCTCTTGTTTTGCTCTTCAGATAAAGTTGCTTTTCAATGAGATTTAGACCTCTAAAATAGTGGATTTCTTCATTCCAGTGCTTCATTCCATAAGCACTAATTTAAAACGTATTGTTAGCATCCTCCATTTATTGAAAAGAAGATTGCAGCATGCTTCTTTCACCAAAAACAAAAAATAAAATCTAAATTTTATTTAAGTATAACCTAGACAATAGTGCTTACATAGAAATTATACAAAAGCATAAAACCCACAGTTGCTGTATAGTTAATTCCACAAACATGTATATTGTTAATTCTACAAACATTGATGTTATATTGTCACATTTCTTAATTTATAGAAGAAAACTTACACCTGAATTAGAATTCTTATTACAGTGTGTTCCAAGCTACCATCTTCTCTGTCTCTCTTCCCCATTCCTCAGTTCTGCATCCAGTGTTCCAGAAATTTCTGGTAAGGAAAGTGAGTGGTAAACCACATATTTAGCAGTGGTGGTGTCACTCTTCTCATATCTTACCACTTCCAGAGTTGGGTTAAAAAGTGAATCCATGTTTAAAATCCATTTATTGGATCCATGACTACATCATTTTAATAGTCACATTTCAGCTGTGGAATTGGTTTGTAGCCTGTGTGATTGACTCTTACCCATCTTGCCATTAGCTCTGAGTATTAATTTCAGAGGATCCGGGTGATTTAACTATTTCCTCCTGGTTCCACTGGCTGGGCACCATGATGGGGCAGAGATTTTTTTCAAGCCATCTGTAATTGATCTATCTTAGAATGTTTGGGGGCCCACGTTTGGGATTGATTTTTATGTTTCCTTCTCTTCAAAGTTTGTAGCTCCCTTGCATATGAGAATGTAGATATCTCAGGGAAAAGACCAGTGATGAGAAGGGTGTGGAGTTCAGATGACTGCTTCGGTCTCCCTCCAAATTCCAGACTGCTCTTCTGTGCATGCATCAAAAGGGCAGGCAAGGCCAGTGCTTCAGGGCCCAGCATGGCTCAGACATGTCACCCATGGAGTGGTTGTGGATTCATGTCAGACATTGAGTCTCAGCAAAATCCGCGTCTGAAAAGCAAAAGCAGCAGCCAGAGAACATTCCAAATATTACTTGGATTTCAGAGTGACAGCCTGGCATCTTCCATTAGTTTTTCATTTTCTCTCCATGTCTCCTCCGTACCCCACTCCATAACCAAGTCAGAGCTCAGAAAGCCCGAGATGCTGTCATTTGCTTTCGGGAGCAGACTCATGCAGTCATTAGTGCCGGATTCTGCATTCTTTGGTGTTAAATAGTGTTGGTTGCTAATGAAAATGCCTTACCAGGCTGATTTTTGTTTATATTCAAGCCATAGAAATAACATGTTGAATTTTTTTATGGAGACACTGAATAGCAAGAAGTTGACTTTAACTTGCACACAGTTGATTATTTGACATGACAATGAATGGAATGTTTAGAAATGGACATTTATGAGACTATTGCTTAGTTCTTCCGCTTGTTTATGCAAATGGGTAGATTTTCCTGCACTGTCAGGTCCATAGCATTGTAGTCGAGAAATGCATCTTGGATTGTACAGTTAGAAAGAACCACAACCATCTGCTTGTTACACAGTCCAAGAATCCCTTCTATAGCTGGCTGATGGCTCATCTTGCAGCCTCTGCTTGAATATTTCTTGGGACAAAAAAGTTATTCCTCTGTAAGGCAGCCCTTCATTTTGGTTTGTTTGTTTGTTTGTTTGTTTGTTTGTTTGTTTGTTTTTGGTTGGTTGGCTTTAACAGATAATGGAATTCTTTATTCATATGTTTCCAGTCACTGGATATAATTCATCCTCCTGAAGCCCATGGACAATTTCCATTGTTTTCCAGGTAGCGGCACATCCCTTAAGCCTTCTTTTTCTGAGTAAAAATCCTGCATTCCTTTCACATTCCTTTTGTAACACTTTGAGATCCTCCCAACTCAGTCATAGTTAACAGAATGTGGTGCTCTCTCAGTCATGAACGGTGGCTCGAGGTAGAGCTGTCCTTGGCAAGGTCAAGATCGCTGCGTGTAGACACAGAGTAGCTTATTCAACTTTTAAGATCTCTCTGCATATATGAGCTGCAAGGGCCCTACTGTTTCCACTCGGTTGTGGATTTTTGTGCTCATGCTGTGAGTCGGTGAGCAAATCTTACATTGAGGTCGTTGTCTGAGGAGGCATAGCTGGTGGTTAAGAATGTGATCACCTAAGCAAGTTTGGTGGTTGACTGTTCTTTGTTTCTGCATTACCCTTGGGATCTGTTGTAGTGTAGGGCACAAGCATTTCCCAGCAGGATCCACAAGGAGGAAACAAGATGCTCACATGTACTGAGCCCTCATTTTGTGCCTGGTATATCATATGTACCCTCTCACACTAGCCCTTCTAAGGGAGAGATTTTATCCCCACTTTATAGATGACATTCAGCGAGGATAAGTGACTCGTCCAAGGTCAACTGGCTAGGAAGTGGCAATGCCATGAGTCAGATCTGTACCTGTGAGAATGCACAGTCCGTGCTTTTCCTACAACCCTGTGCTGAGCAAACATGAGTTAGACAATAGATGTCGCTTAGGCACCTAAGATTTGTGTGAAGGTTACCAAAAGTGAAGGTAAGATATAATCCTTATCTCAAAGATCTTTGAATTTCCAAAGGAGAGTAAGACACGCAAATATGTCATTAATAGAGACATGGATAAATAAATATAGTTATTATACTTTGTGTGTGATTAAGTTAATGATGGGGGCAATTTGAAGACTTGTGCCTAGACTTAGCTTCATAATCAGCATTTCTTATAGAGCCCAGAGCCGTCCAAAGGATCAGTGCTTTTATGGTGGCCATGTGTAGATAAAATGTGGCCAGCTGGCAGTAAAAAATTTAGCTGATGGCCCAGGAGCTAGTTGCAATTCCATTCTTCCAAGACCATTGGAGGAATAAACTGCTTATGCTTAAAAACTCATACACATTCCAAAGAATTGGTTGGGAAATGCAAGTTTGACTCCTTTTCAGGTAAGAGAAAAATACCTTCCAAATTTATTTGAGTTTAAAGGGGTGAAGGAGGATTGAAAACACTTGAATTTTCAAGGATAGAGAGTTTGCAGTAGTAAATTTCCTCCATAAAATCACATATCTGTCATTTGCTCCACCTCTAGCCTCCAATCACCACCATGCAAGAACAACCTAATGAAGTTGTTATCCATTTCAGAAGAAAACATAATTCTATGACATTTCTTAGCTGCCAGTTGCCCCATCAATGACAATTTTTGGAAGTTGAACTGGGTGTCTAATGTCAATCCCACTTGCTGCTGCCCATGTGGACTATGTTCTATGTGGAGATTTCTTTTAAAATGTTGCTCAATACCTGAAAATAGTCATAGGCTTTTACAGATCCTTGATTGTGGTTCCTCCATCTTCTCAGCCCTCCCTGAAATTACTCCAAGGGAGAAAATGTATGATTCTGTTAATCATCATTGTAGTTTTTTCCCTTCTCCTCTTCCCCTTGCAAGGCCAAATGAAGCAGGATAGCCAGAGAACCTGGGACAAGCTGAGAGGGCACGTGGCATCCTAGCTTATGTGTGGCATATTTCTCATGGAACATTAGCACCAGTTAGAACTCTGCTCAGCCAAGTGTCTTTTGGAAAATTGAGCCCTGAGAATAGAAGGCTGTGGTCCAGCCAAAGAGAACCCGGCTGTTTCTTGCTCTGCCACATGCTTGGCTTGTGCTGAGTGCTAATGTGGGCAGTATGCTAAGGGGTTTCCAGGCCGGATCCATTTCATCCCCACAACTGCCCCCTGGGGTCAGTCCTATCACCATGCTCGTGAGGAAAGTGGAGTCTGAAGGATGCAGAGGGCCAGCACCCGGCCCACAATCACACAGCCAGTAAGCGGAGGAGCTTGAATCTGAGATGCATAATACCTCCAACAAGGAAGAAGGCAGACCTCTCTCTGTAGAAATATTTGTGATCAACAAGTACAGATCTTTTAGTCACTGTGATCTCTGTTTGTAAAGTAGGGCCTATAGACAGCTGCAGATATTACCAACAGGTGAGAAAACAAAAAAACACACACTTTTGCATGAGCAGAAAATGATTCCCAGGAAGTAGTTCAACCTAACCTGAGCGTGTCATTATTGGAGACAGTGTGAAAATGTATGTATGTCTCAGACTCGGTGCTTTGCTCCCCCCACATGCTAGTCTTCTCCTATTTCAGGGGAGACCTGAAGGAAGACTCTCCTGGGACTCAACACTTCCTTTGACCACCCCTCCAGTCATTTGTTCATTCTCGAATCCTTATTTAAGCACCCACAGCCAGCCAGGCACTGAGCGCGGAATATGGCTGTGGTCATGGACATGGTTGCTATTGTCATCAACCTCATGCATGATCTGTCGGAGAATTAATCCAGCCTTCACCCCCATCTTTCCAGGGGAAGATCCCGAGGCTCGGCGCCTGCGGACAGTGAAGAACATCGCTGATCTGCGGCAGAACTTGGAGGAAACCATGTCTAGTTTACGGGGAACTCAGGTTACACACAGGTATCTGCAGCATGAATTACTTCCCTGAACTAGCTGGTGTCTTGGTTTTCACTGCTTCTCCCGTGTTCAGACCACTGCCAAAGTGATTTGGTTAATACTGGAATAAATAACCTCACTCTCCAAAGGTGCTAGAATTCACAAAGAACGCCATGCAACATGCAGAAGAGAATTGTCAGGAATAAAAGTTGGTTTAGACAGATTCCTCCCAAAAGCAGAAGGTTGCAAAATGCATTCAATAGAGTATACTGTACACCAGCTGTATTTCAATTTCACTTTACTCGCATTTTCTAAAACTATAGTGTACTGTTGAAATAAGCAGGTGAACTATATTTGACCTGTGTGATAGATTGAAGAGGTTGAATTCCTACCCTGTCTTCTGATATGCAGCACTCTGTAATAATGTTAGTCATGCATGTGCATAAAACACAAGGAAATATTTATAAAAACTTATGATCATGTTTAAACTGTGATTGACTTGGATGAGATCTAGGCTGACATTGGGAACATTTATCAGGTTGCTTTCATTGTTGAACAAGAAGTTGAAAAGGATGTAACCCTGGCATGTCCTTCATGATTTTGGCAGAACAAGGTTTCTCAGGTTGCAGAAATCCAGGAAAAGTCCTTGTTACCCTAGTTGAACCCCCAGGGTGCCTTGGCTTCTCCAACTTCTGTTTCTTTGATAAGTGACTATAGTGAGGAGACCACAGGGCAGATCAGGGTTAACCACCATGGGTTCTATCTTTAGTAGGACAGGGACCCACAACAGAGGGGTCCAATACGAGGAAAGCAAGGCCACTTCCAGCATCAAAGGGAAACAAAAACAGTTCAAGGCACCAAACTGGCTCTTCCAGTGGAGGGTAAACCTGGGGTTTCAGGGCGGTGCTCTCCTGAACTTCTAGGTGTGTGAATGACCTGGAGTCGGATGCTGGACCTTGTAACTCTCTGATAGGTGTGAAGCATCCGCTTCCCACCATAGTCGCTGACACCGACTTAATGTTGCTATGGCAGTTGGATGGTAGGATGATAATGAGGACAGGAAGGAAGGCTTCAGTGGTTTCTTCCACAGGGAAGACTCTCACTCTTGGTTAGGAAATCCCAGTGCAGTTCTGAGGAGGGGCAGATGATGCTCTCAACTGTGCCAAAGAGCCTGCAGGGCTGTCTTGGAGAATGGGCTGCAAAAGGGTCTATGTCGAGCAATAGAGCTCTCATGGGGCAGATGAGAAGGGCTGCTCGTCTTCTTTACCACTCTGAGACGAAATGCATGGGTTGTGCAGATACGCTGCGTAGCCACGCCCGTCACTAGGTCTTATTTTCGGGGTAGGGCTTATATTGCACAAATGCTTAGAAATCCTGCTAGGGCTTATTTTATGGGTGGGTCTTATTTTCGGGGAAACACAGTATTAGGAATATTAGGAATTCCTGATGGGCTGGTGCATCCTGTCCTTGGAAAAAGGGAGCTATGATGCAACATCCTAGAATGAATGGGCAAGCAGGGAGCTTCCTGTCTCGTGTCTCATCTGTGTCAGTTCAGCATTTTTTGTTCCTTTTCCTGGATTGGAAAGAAAATTCCAATAGTTAAGATCATTTCATTAAAGTAATTGGTGGTGGGAATCTTGTACCATGTTTTAGGGGGAAAGTCTCCACAGGGCTTTTCAGAATTATGTAGATTTGCAACTTCCCTTTTTCTTTCTTTTTTTTTTTTTGAGAAAGAGTCTTGCTTTGTTGCCCAGGCTAGAGTGAGTGCCATGGCATCAGCCTAGCTCACAGCAACCTCAATCTCCTGGGCTCAAGCAATCCTGCTGCCCCAGCTTCCCGAGTAGCTGGGACTACAGACATGTGCCACCATGCTCGGCTAATTTTTTTTTCCATATATATTAGTTGGCCAATTAATTTCTTTCTATTTATAGTAGAGACGGGATCTCGCTCTTGCTCAGGCTGGTTTCCAACTCCTGACCTCAAGGAATCCACCCACCTCGGCCTCCCAGAGTGTTAGGATTACAGGCGTGAGCCACCGCGCCCGGCCTCCTTTTTCATTTTTAACAGAGGAAATACACCTAGGTGGTATATTGGGGCCTGTTGGTTTATCCTTTTTTTGGTGTGTGTATGTGAGAAGTATTTCATAATTTTAAAACGTTAAAGAATATATAAACTGCAAAGGACAGTAGGCACGTCGAGGTCTAACCCGGCCTGGTTCTGTGTTTTTAGCACATTGGAAACCACATTTGACACTAACGTCACCACGGAGATAAGTGGCCGTAGCATCCTCAGCCTGACGGGGAGGCCCACCCCTCTGTCCTGGCGACTGGGCCAGGCCAGCCCTCGGCTTCAAGCAGGAGATGCCCCCTCCATGGGCAACGGGTACCCGCCTCGCGCCAACGCCAGCAGGTTCATCAACACCGAGTCCGGTCGGTACGTGTACTCGGCCCCTCTGAGAAGGCAGCTGGCCTCCAGGGGCAGCAGCATCTGCCACGTGGAGGTCTCAGACAAGGCAGGAGAGGAGATGGACCTGGAGGGCATCAGCATGGACGCCCCCGGCTACATGAGCGATGGGGACGTTCTGAGCAAGAACATCCGGACAGATGACATTACCAGTGGGTGAGTACCTGGGGCTGCTCGTTTTTGCAGAGGGGAAGAAGGCGTGGCACCTGGTTTCCCTTTTGCAAGGCTTTAGTTAAGTTCTCCAGAGGTCAACCTTTCTGCCTCAATTTCCACTCTCTGTGTCGAAGCCTGCGTGACATGGTGGGGGGTGTAGCTGGGCTGTGAGTCAGAAGACCTAGGCAGTCCAGGTGTGGCCAGTAACTTACAAGGCTCTGCCTGCACCAGAGTGACACTTGAAAACAAGCCATGTTGCATCAGTCCCTTAGAGCAAACCTTGCACTGAGACTCCTGAGCATTGCCCTCCTGGTCCTGCACGATCTGGCCCATGCCTGCCCCTTAGACCTCATCCTGCTGCCCCCGCAGCAGCTGTCCCTTCCAGGCCTCAGGCTTCCCAAGCTCTTTCCTGCCTCGTGGGCTTTGCTTTCTGTTTCTCACCCTGGGTTCTGCTTCCCACGTCTTTGCATGGTTTGGTCGTTGCTGCTCAGCAGACACCTCCATGGAGCAGCCTTCCTTGACCATTTAATCTGAAGTAGATACGTGTCCTGCCTCCTGTCCTTGGCATGTCCATCATGCTGTTAGACTCCTTTGAAAGCTTGTCGCTATTGGAAATTGTCTTGATTATGTGTTTACCTGTTATTGTCCCCATGCCCCTTCCTGCTCACAGCAGTAAGCACCATGAAGCCAGGACTTCCTTGCTTGTTCACTGCCAAATGCCCAGTGCATTATATATAATAGGAACATATAAATATTGCTGAATTAATGAAATCAGCAGGTGGAGGAATAAACCCAACCTCCCTGCTTCTCAGTTTGCTCACATGTAAAGTTAAAGTGATGAGACGATATTTAGAGCCCCTTTTAGAGGAAACGTGCCATGTATTAATATTGGCTCCCCTTTTGGCTTACTGTGGAAACTTGAGGTGCATCTCTTTTAATTCACTGGCCTGAGACTTCGTCTGTTAACATGACTTGCCCAGAAGTTCTCCAAGATCTTTTCCACCTCTAACGTTCTAGTGATCAAAATTACAGATTAGAAAAATCTAGAATAACAATCATTTCTGTGAAAATAGTCATCAAGAACCCCATGGATGAGTCAGCATTTTTATGATTTAAATAATAGCCAACTCTCCAACCGTATGCCAAGCACCGTGCCAGGTGCTGTACGCATACCATCTTGGTCTATCCTCACAGCAGTCCTCTGAAGTAGATGACGTAATAACCGCCATTTCACACGTGAGGAGACTGTGGTCCAGGGAGGTTCAGTCACTTGCCCAAGGTCCTGCAGCTGTTGAGGGACAGAGCCCAGAGCTCATGGCTCCAGACCATTTCCTTACCCGCTATCCTAGCCCATCTTGCCAACATGTTATTGCTGTACTGAAATGTCACAACTACTAGAGTTTATTTCAAAATTAATTTAATTTTGCTTAGTTTGACCTCTAATGAATAGAAAATATTTTTAATCTAATTAAAACCTTAGGCATAGAGGTGCTTTGGTTTTCACCCCGTCACTTTTAGAACCATCTTGGGCAATGAAATCTTTGAAAACAGGGGCCACAAAACCCTTACAGTATAACAAATTGCTGCTATCTGGAATGGCTGGGAAAGTTAATGGGCTGGTAAGTTAAATAATCTAGTCAACTTAGAGTAGCACTTTGTATTTCTACTTTTCCATAAACATAAAAAACAATAATATGTGCCTATTACTAAAACTGAATTGCACATAATTTAATATTTTTATCATTGTTTAGAAGACTTTGGGTATCCAGCACAGCCTTAAGTTTATCATTACCAATTCCCATTTCAATATACTACCAAAAAATCCTGTAATAGTTTATTTTATCGTCGGACCAGTCTTAATTCTAAATAGATGATCAGTGAATTTATTTTGATGTAGTGTTGATAGTGTCCACAAGGTGGAGACATTGAAACACTTCTAACCTGAAACTTGGAGATAACACAGTGAGAAAACTGGTTTCTTTAACCACCCAAACCAGACCCTTTCCCCTTGCTAAAAAGCACAAATGTTTACATTTCAGTTCCTGCTTTGTGAAGCTTCCATTTTAGCATGTGCGATAGCGCTTAGAGCAAGTGTAGATAAAAATGCAGAAATGTAAGCAAACCACCCAATTACTGAAATCAGAGAACTTTGGTCTGGTTTTTCTTCTCTTATTCTTTTTAATGTAGAAACTTACCTTCAAGATGAGGACAGGTAGCCCAGGTGGCACTTAATGCTCCTTCTAGTTTTAACATTCTAGAACACTTGTTAAGGACGTCTCCACCCTGTGGGAATGCATGTGAATATCTGCGTTGAGGCCAATTTACTAGTTTGCCTTTACACACTGAGTTCAGGGCATGCCACTTAAAAGTCTTTTCTACTCATTTCTTTTACTTCATGTAAACTGAACAAGTTATAAATATTGAAAGGCTGGTCATTTATTCTATGCTTCAGACTCTGCTAAGTAAGTCATTGTTGAGGCAGTTGATGTGATGGAAGGGAAACAGACTAAGACATCCGAGAGACCAGGGCTTACATGCTGCCCTGTGACATTAGGCATGTCATTTAACTTCCCTAGGCTTTGAAGCACTACTGTTGATATGGTTTTTAACTTTCTCCAGTTAGATTTCTCTTTGAGATTGTATCTGATTAATGACAAATATCTGATAAAGACCAAAATTTCAGCCAGGGTCTAGATGTCTTATCAACCTAAAACATCCAGCCACTTGGAAACAGTGAAATGATTAAAGTTTTCGTCCAGATGTTTATTTGGCTAGTAGAAACATAGCCTTGATGTATGAGTAGTATATCAATCAGTACAGAGGCTCTTTGAGGCAAGTTCTTGTAAAAGTTTACAGCAAGTTTACTTAGAAAATCTGATACCAAAGTAAATCCGAAAGCCTAAAACCTTTGTGTTTAAAGTGACGTTGTACCCCAACTTGGTATAACAGCTATTTTTTGATGTCTCTCATTCATTTTGTTCATTGGGTGTGTGTGCAACATGCACCTGTGTGTATCCTTCAATTCTCTGTAAGGTAGGGCTGAAATTACTTTATTACTTTGGAGTTTAGCTGAGAAATTAATGGCAAGTGCCCCTGTGTACGTGTGTGTATCAGACCCCTATCTTGTGTGTAGTATATACTAGGTATGTCTAAGTACGACTTGTCGTCTGAACTTACCACGCCCTTTTATTAAATTGATACATTGGACATTGGCTATAATGGAAAAGAAATGAAAATAACAGATGAGATTTCTCTGACTAAGTTTTGATCTGTGAAGTCGATCCTCTACTCATATTCCAAAAATACAGAGTGCCATATGGTATGGAATAAAGCTAAAGGGACGGACCAGACTCTGCGTCCATATGTTTGCAAGGATTTTTTTTTTTTTCTTTTCAAAGGAGGCACTGAGTTGTATAATGTTCCAAAGTCTTAATATAGATCCCTTCGTGGAAAAAAAAGTGACCATTTAAATTTAACATCAGAAGTTTTTCCCTCTCAGAACCTTTGGTGGCTTCCTAGTGCCTGGAGAACAGATCCGAACCCCTTAACTGGACGTGGAGGCTCTTAATGGCCTTTGCTTCATCTGCCTTCCCTGACTTAGCCCTGGCCATATCCCCGTCACAAGCCCCAAACTTCCCACTGCTCGGGGCTGCCTGCTGTCACCAAAGGCGGGTTCCTACATTTGCAAAGCTCTGTGGGCACACGCTGCTTTCTCCCTGCAATTCCTTTCCCCTCAAGCCCATCGGACTGATACTGAAAAAACACCTCCCCTGAGATGTCCTCCAGGACTTCCCTGGTCAGAGTTAGCGCTGTCTCGTGTGTTTCTGGTAGCCTTGGTTCACACCTAGCCTTGCGTATAAGCCTTTTGCTTTGCATGTAAAGTGTTTGAGAGGGACTAGGTGGTGTGGAGGGAAGCGTGTGGTCTCACCAGGCAAACAGACTTGAGGTTGAATCCTGCTTCTGCCAAGTGAACTAGCACTAGTTCTTAACCTTTGAAAATTAGAGACAGGGCTTGAAAAGCACCCAATAAAGAGTCTGGGATACATGAGAAATGTCATGCACACTCTCTGTGTGTGTATCTTTCTCTTGGAGCTTGTAGAAGACAGACATTGCCCATTATTTTTCTAAACCCAGAGACTACGACATAGTAGGTATTTATTATTTTGAGAATAGTCTATTCTTGGTGCCTACCCTGGCAGGACCTTTGGCTTGGGTAACTTGCCACCACCAGCTGTGAAACTTGGTGGCTCTATTTATAGAACATTTGGACAAAGCCAGCATAGCCTGTGGTGTCCACCTAGTGGCCGATGCAGGATGCGATGCTGTGGTCTCAGTCGCTTTTAAGTGTAAAGGTCACTGGGTTGGTTTAAGACTCCCAGTTGGTGGTATTCAGGAGTGAGGAAGTTGTTAGCTTTCCAGTGTGGCCCAACCAATAGTCTGGCGTGGGAGAGAAAGCAGGGTGTGTGTGAACAGCCTGGTTTCACTTAGTGGCTTTTTTTTTTAAGAGACAGGGTTTCTCTGTCTCGCTCAGGCTAGAGTGCAGTGGCATAGCTCACTGTAACCTCAAAATCCTGGGCTCAACAGATCCTCCTGCTTCAGCCTCCCAAGTAGCTAGTACTACAGGCATGTTATATCTGGTGACCTTAAGAGGGCTGCAGTGTTCCCTGTTTGGCAGGATTACTCCACCAACAGATGTGGGGACAGATCTCTGCTAGAAGACTCAACTCCTCGGAAACTGAGGAACCCATCCCTGCTGAATTAAATTCATCCCTCAGTATTGGGGGGGGGTTGGTTCCAGGACCCCAGCAGATACCAAAATCTGCAGATGCTCAAGTCCCTTCTATAAAATGGCATAGTATTTGCATCTTCCCATATGCTTAAAATCATCTCTAGATAATTTATAATACCTAATACAATGTAAATGCCATGTAAATAGTTGTTTTTCTGTATTTTTCTTTGTATTATTTGTTGTTGTAGTTTTAATTTTTAAAAATATTTTCAAT